GCCGCGCCAGGCAGCCCCGGCGGCACCAGCACCACCACGCGCTCGTGGATCAGGGCCCCGCCCGCCACGTGGTACTGCACCCCGATGAAGTCGCCGGGCTGGACCCCCGCCGCGGCAACTGACGGATGCACCGGCGGCGCCGGCGCCGCCATCACTGCTGCAGCGCCTTGGCGCGCGCCACGCGCGCCTGAGCTCGGGCCTCCTCCTCGAAGTCAGGCTCCCTGCCACCGCCGACCTGCGGACGACGGGCCGCCACGAAGCGGCCACCAGCGCGCCAGAAGGCCAGCGCGGCGGTGGAGGCCCCGACCAGCCCGCTGGCGGCGCAGGCCAGCGCCACGGCCCAGAGGCTGGGCCCGTGACTGCTCGAGCCCTGAAGGCCTGAGCAGTCGCACCGCAGCTCCGGGCAGTGGAACTGCGGCGCGCACGAGCACGCAGGGCACTGCGCGTGCCCCTGGTTGGCCGCGTACAGCGCCACGCCGGTGCTCAGCCCGCGACCCAGCTCTGGCAGCAGCAGATCGGCCGCCGCGCGAGCGGCTGAAAGCATACGGGCGGAGTTCGCTCGAGGCTAGAGCGAGATAGCAACGGATGACCATCAAGTGCGGCAACTTCGCCGTGGTACGCAGCATACACTTGTTAAAATGATCATATATATATATATATATATACACTAGAACCACGCGCGCGCTTCGCGCGCGCTTAGGTTCTAGCTAGGATCGTCACCGTCGTCATCATGAACATCACCATCGCCATCATTCCCCTCGCCAGGGCTACTGTACATCGTTTCTGGATGCTTCTGGCCGGAATACGAAAGGAGTTTCTGTAGTTAGAGTCTCTGGGGAAGTCGCGGGGCCCCTCAGGATACGTACGGATGCCTCTGATAATCCCCCAGCGTGCCCCACGAGATGGCCAGAGGGTGCCCGAACAGAACCCGAGGACGTCGACGACGGCGGCGATGAAGACGGCGGCGATCGCGGCGATGAAGGTAGCAGCGGTTGCCATGGGTTAGTACCCAATCAGAGCTTGCCTCTGTAAGGGTCCTGGCGGATTCAAACGTTCGATGAGGTTCGGCGAGATTCCGGCCCCATGCGGCCGGGCCGGGTGCCCGGGTGCCCGGGTGCCCGGGTGCCCGGTGCCTGGGTGCCTGGGTGCCCGGTGCCCGGGTGCCGGGGTGCCTGGGGGTGCCCTATCGCCCTATAGCCCTGTAGCCCTATTGCCCTATAGCCGTATAGCCCTATAGGACTATAGCCCAATAGCCCTATATCCCTGTATCAATCTAGCCCTTTAGCTCTATAGCCCTCTGATCCTATAGCCCTGTAGCCCTATAGCCCCATAGCGGCAGTTGCTTGGGCCGTCTTGGGAGCTTCTTGGGCCGTCTTGTCTGACCGGGGAGGCCTCCGGCAAGCCCCGACGAGCCTCCGGGCCCCCCGGGGCCCACATTTGTGGTCGGGGTCCCGGCCCCGGGCCCCCGGACCCGGTGCGCCGTTATATGTGTGTATATATATATAGAGAGAGAGAGATATATCGGAGGTTGGGGGGTGAGATCGAAGTGGAACGGAGAGCCCCCCTACCGGGAAATCGATTTCGGTTTCGTGTTCGTGCGTGCCGTGCGGGCGAGGCGAAGCTGCGTGGGCGCGCGAGAGAAAGTCTCCTGTGGCTGAGGCGCGGCCGGACCAAACGATTCCCTTCCGGGCGGCCGGGGCCCCGCGGTGTCCCGCCGGTGTCCCGCTGGTGTCCTGTGTGGCTGAGGCGCGGCCGGACCAAATGTCTCCCTTCCGGGCGGCCCGGGCCCCGCGGTGTCCCGCCGGTGTCCCGCTGGTGTCCCGTGTGGCTGAGGCGCGGCCGGACGAAATGATTCCCTTCCGGGCGGCCGGGGCGGCGCGGTGTCCCGCCGGTGTCCCGTCCGTGTCCCGTCGGTGTCCCGATGATGATGATGATGATGATGATGATGATGATGATGATGATTATGATGATGATTATGATGATGATGATGGTGGTGATGATGATGATGGTAATGATGATGATGATGATGATGATGATGATGATGATGATGATGATGATGATGATGATGATGATGATGATGATGATGATGATGATGATGATGATGATGATGATGATGATGATGATGATGATGATGATGATGATGATGATGATGATGATGATGATGATGATGATGATGATGATGATGATGATGATGATGATGTTGATGATGATGATGATGATGATGATGATGATGACGTCGATTGCGAGATCGATTGTGATATCGGTAGTGAGACCGAATGTGAGATCGATTGTGCGATGCTGATGGTGATGATGGCCTTCATGACGCTCCCAAGAGCGAGCGGCAACGCAACTATCTCCACTGGCATTGTCACAACAACATTCACCACTGTTGCCCATTGCTGGGCCCCTCCCCCCCCCAACCTCCTTATCACCCGCAGGGTGGTCCTATAGGTATATACACACGTTTCCCGTAGGGTTTGGCATGTTCTTTTCTTGTGCGGGCTCTGTTGGGCGTCTTCTGGGAGCCCACTTGGAGCGTTTTGGGGGCCTCTTGGGCCGTGCGAAGCTATCTTGAGCGCCTTCGAACGCTCTTGGACCGTCTCGGAGGCTCTTCTGAACCGTCCTGGGACGTCTTGGGGCTCCTCCCGGGGCATCTCGGAGTGCTCTTGGGCCATTTTGGAAGCGCACCGGGGCCTGCTGGGCCTCGCCGGGGCCGCCGCGGCGCCGAAAACCCGTATTGGACCCCCGCCCTTTTCGCATGCAGTGGCCCCTGCAATGTAGTAGAGACTACCGTGAGCCCATGGACTGAATCCACGGTTTGCTGAACCTGGGACTCGCAAGCCATAGGTTGAATCCACAGAACAAGGCGTCGAAACCGAACAGCTCGTGGAGCCTCGTGGAGAGGACGGGGGAGAGGACACGAGTGCAAGTTGATGACCTCGGAGCGCCTGAGCGTGCCGCGGCAGCGACTCTGTGGAGGAAAGAATACTGTGATATTCGGTCGTGACGAAGCTTGACACCGCGTGGAGTGCTCAACCCTGCACGATCGGCAGCTTTGGAATCGCAAGATCGTTCATGACGGCCGACTCTGGACCAGTGTCGGCGTTGAGCCCTTGATGCTGGCGCTGAGGTCGCCGCCGCGTCGACGCGACGCGAATCTTCGCACCCCTCCCCAAAGCTCGGTGAATGGGGCCAAGAACCTCGTTCTCAGGTGGCGCAAGGCAGGCAGCGGAGAGGAGGATCGGCATGAGGAAGAGGGAGAAGGGAGCGACCGCTCCCGGAGGCGCAGAGAGGTGCTCTCTCTGCCTCGGGCGCGGCCCAACCGACCCCCTGTGTGTCGGGCGTTCCCGCGCGGACCTCCTCGCTCTGGAGGCCCTCCTCTGGCTGCGTGCGTGCGTCTTGCAGTGAGGCAGGGAGGCCGCCACGCCGCCACGGGAGAGCGCTGGTCCGCTGGGGGTGGGTGAGGAGGAGGAGGAGGAGGAGGAGGAGGAGGAGGAGGAGGAGGAGGAGGAGGAGGGCCGTTCCAGAGCCACGACCCGTCGGGCTCTGAGCGGGGCGCCCCGGTCTTCCGCGGCGACTGGGCACCAGGTGCTCTGCCATGACGTTCTTGCTGGGGCGCACGCTCCACACGAGGCCCTGCACCATCTGCCCGACATTCTGGGCCTCCTGGGGGCCTGCCTGGGTCTCATGGCCCACTCTTAGAATGGCCTGGGAGCTTGCTTGAAAATCGCCTCGGAGCCTTCCTGGGGCGTTCTTGGGGCTCTCCAGGGCTCTCCGGGGCTCTATGGGGACTCTCGTGGGGCCGTCTTTGAAGGCACATGGGACTCCTTGGGGCCGTCTTTGGGCGCTCTTGGATCATCTTGGAGCCTTTTTGGGCCGTTTAGGGCCTCTCTTTTTGGGAGCCTGATTGGCACTTATGGGACGATCTAGGAAGCGCTGGGAGCCGTCTGTAGCTGTTCTTGGGGCGAAGTGGGGATATGACAATCTTTGAACAAGTATGGGGAATCTGAGATTTTGACCTCGTGGGGCCGTCATCGGGGTCGTCTTGGGCCGTCTTGGGAGGGCTATGGCTTGGCTTCGGGCCGTCATGGGCCATTCTGAGGGTCGCTTCGGGTTTTCTAGGACCATCCGGGCGCTCTCTTGAACGTCTCTGAGTCGTCGTTGGACGTCTTGGAGCCTTCTAGCGACCGTCCAAGGCCGTCCAGGACCGTCCCGGGAGCGCTGGGGCGCCCCGGGAGCGCCCGGAGCCGCCCCGGGCTGAGCTACGGCAGCGCAATCTCGCGCGCTTTGATTCGAGCATTGTAGTGTAGAGTAGGGCTGACCAGTGGACTACGTCCACGAAGCTTGCGCGAACTGGCATGTGATGGTGGACTTGCTGCCGACAAGCTGAAAATGATGACGTGGATGTCGAATGTCGCAGTTCGCGCATGCTACTGCGTGCTGCTTGCTGCCGCTGCTGCGTGCTGTTGGTAATGCTTGCCGTTGCTGAGCGCTGTTGCTGCAATCTGGGATGAGGCCTTCGGGCCCTTGGGCGCGTCTGAGGGGCGTGGCGGGGCCGGGTCGGAGGGAAGCGTTCCAAACTTGTCTTCGGGATCCATGTCTGCGCACCTCTTTAGGCCTTCTTGAGGGGTTCCAGAGCCGTCTCACAAGGGGCTCTCTTGGAGGCCGCCTGGGCCGTCTTGGGTCGATTCTGGAAACTTCTCGGGTCGTCTCGGGCTCTGTGGGGCCAGATGCGCGAATGCACGGGAGAGTGTGAAGCAAACGGCTGAGCATCTGCAGTTTTTGTTTCTCGCTGCTCTCCTGGGGCTCTCTTGGGGCCCCCTTGGAAGCTCTTTGGCCGCCTTTGGGGCGCTCCTGGGCTGTCTAAGGGCTCTGTTCTCTGAAGGCCCTGGTGGGCTCTCTCGGGCCCTCTTGGACTTCGGGGCGGAGCCGTGGAGGCACCTTGGCATAAGAAAAACCAATGGACCCTGATGGCACGCAGAATGCCAAGTACTGAGTACGGTGTATGACGTTGAGCTCCAGCTTCGCCTCCCACATCTCGATGAGCAGCGCCAGAGCCTGCTGCCATTCCTCGCTCTTCTCGCACGCGCTGATCGCAGCGGCGTAGCTGATTAGGGCTGACCCGTGGACCAAGGTCCACTCAAACTTACTCGCATGCGAGGGCGAAGGTCGCTTGCCTGCTGCCATGATTGCGAGGCTGCTGGCCTTCTGGTCTGACAGCGGTCTTCCCCGCTTACACGCTTCCATGCTAGCCTGCGTGCCTGATTTATTGCTCGTCTCTCATTGCTTGCTCGGCTGTTCGCTGCTACTTGCCACTGCGTGGTGCTGCATGATGTTGTGTACAGTTGTTTGCTATTTCTTGCTACTGTCACTGCCAGCAGCTGTTTTTTTCTGTGGGTGCTGTTGCTTGATGCGACTTGGTGCTGCTGCCGCTGTGGTGCTACTGCTGACAGGAGGGCGGACGGAGGATAGAGGAGCTTTGCGCAAGAGGAAGAGATGTGCCGAGGAGCGAGGAGCCAGAAGTGAGGATACCTGCGCGAGAAGCGACGAGTCAGGAGCGAGGAGCGAGGACGAATGAGTGACTAGAGGGGGATGCTGAGCAAGGATGGGGAAGTGAGAAACGGCGGCGTCTCCTCTCGGGTGCCTCTTGGGGCGTCTGTAAGGTTTCCGGGAGGCTCTTGGGGCGTCTTGGACACTTGCTGATTATCTCGGGGGCCAGATTGGGGGGGGGGGCTCCACATATCAGTTCGAGTTCCCCGACTTGGGCCCCTCTTAAGGCTCTATTAAGGGTCCTCTGGGGCTCCCTTGGGAGATCTCGTGGCCCGTCTCGGAGGCTTCTTGGCACGTCTCGGAGCCCTGTTGGGGTCCACGCGGGGGCCTCCGGGACCGTCGTGGGGCGTTTCCGAGGGCTCTTGGACCGCCTTGGGCGACAGCATCCCCCACCGTGCCGCTGGGTACGGAGTGGGCGTGTCCTCAGGGCTCGGGCCCAATCCTAAAACAGGGCTAGGATCGGGATAAATCGCTCCAGAGCGTTCCGGAGCGCTCTCAGAGCGTTCCGGGACGCTCTGGAGCAGCCGCGGCGCCCAATACATCCTCCAAACCCGCCGATTCTCGGAGATTTCGAGTTATCCCGATCCGATCTTGTCCCGATCTTCGCGTCGTTTTACTCTAAGCCACAATCCTCACTCCTGAGGAATCCTTAAAAGGCCCGGGCTCCCGCGTGCCCCCTGGGCTCCGGGAAGCGGCAGCGAGTAATTTCTTTTCGGGCCCACGGTGGCCCCAAGAGGGACCCAACCAGCCTGCAAGACTGCCCAAGACGGCCCCGAGACGCCCAAAGCTCGCCCAAAGACGCCCAAGATGGCCTCGAGGTGGCCCAAGAGGCCTCCAAGAGGCCTCCCAAGAGGGCCTCAAGAGGCGCAAACCATTGGTTTTCCTGAGGTTCTTGACAGATTTGGTGTTATTGCTTTTCGGCTTTCCGACGCTCCGAGGCGGCCCCAGATGCCCCCACGACCACCCCAAAACGGCCCAATAAGGCCTCCAAGAGGGCCCCAAGACGGTCTGAGAGCGCCCCAAGACGGCCCAAGAGGCGCACAAGACGGCCCCCAACGGCTCCAAAAGGAGTCCAAGAGAGGGAGAAGGACAATACCTCTTGGGAGCCTCTGGGGGCACTCTTGGAGTCTGCTGGGAGCTTCTTGGGGGGCCTCTTTGCTCATCGAAGGGGGCCTCCTAGGGCCGCTTGGGCGCCTCTGGGGCTTCGTGGGGGTCTCTTGAGCCGTCTTAGGCCGGTCCTATCCCGTCGGGCGCCGTCGGAAGCCGTCTTGGGGGCATCTTTGGACCATCTTGGGGCCGTCTTGGGCGGTTCAAGGCTGTCTTCGAGGCCATCTTGGGCATCTTGGAGGCCTTTTGGACAATCTTGGGGCCCTCTGGGGGCCGTCTTGGGGGCCTCTTGGGCCGTCATGGGCCGGCGGCAAGCCGAAAAGAAGCAAATGCTAAAGTTGTCCAAGAACCGAAGGACAATCTATGATTCTGGCCTCTTCGGGCTCTCCTGAAGGACCTCTTGGAGGTCTCTTGAGCCGTCTTGGAGGCCTTTTGGAGGCCTTTGGGGCCGTCTTGGGACATCTTGGGCTGTCTTGGTGCACCTCTGCGATAAATCAAAAGGGAGCGGCGGATAGCGCATTCTGGTGGGGCGAATCCCTCTAGGGAGGGGTCGGGAGGGGGGTAGAACCGGGTGAAAAGTTGTAATGGCAAGCTTCCCTCGCATTTTGTTCCACAACGGCTTGGGGAACACAGAACCCGATAAGCCACAACATTCGGCCGCATCGGCGCTTCCCAAAGGCAGGGGGCGGCGGTGATTCGCCGTAGGCGTCTTCGATCCGCCGCCCCCTGTTGATTTATCACGAAAGTGCCTGGCGTGCTAAACTTCTTACGGAGTGGTTTTGGTTCTTTTTCCAGAAAGAACTCCCCCTGGGGCTTCGGCCCAGCGCGCCAGCCACCCGAATGGCCCCGTCGCTGCCCCAAAAACGTCTCCAAGACGGCTCAGGTGGCCTCAAAGATGGCCTCCAAACTCGCCCAAGATGATCCAAGATGGCCTCCAAGAAGGCCCCAGAGGGTCCGAGATGCCTCCAAGTCCGCCCAAGAGGCCACCAAGACGGCCCAAAATGGCTCCGAGATGGCTCCAAGACGGCCCAAGAGGCCGCCACGAGGTCGAGAGGCCCCCAAGACGGCTTCCGATGGACCCAGACTGGCCAGGAAGCCCTAAGACGGCCAAAGAGGCTCCCGACAAGTCCCCAAGGGGTCCAAGGAGGCCTCCAAGATGCCTCCAAAAGGCTCCCAGGAAGATCCCAGGAGGCCCCAAGAGTGCCCCCAGAGGCTCCCCAAATGCCCCCTCCTCCTCCTCCTCCTCCTCCTCCTCCTCCTCCTCCTCCTCCTCAGAGCTCTTGACACAACGCTCGGCCACATGGGCGATTCCAACAGGCAGGGGGCGGCGGTGACTCGTCTTAGGCGTCTTCGATAGTAGAGATCATAGAAACACCTTCGGAACATCACCACATGCTTTTTCGTCTGGAGGCCCTCCAGGCGGTCCTCTCGGAGCCTTCTTGGGGCGTCTTCGGGGCCTCTTGGGTCGTCTTGGGGGGCACAGCGAGCAGTCTTGGGGCCCTCTTGGGGGCATCTGGGAGCCGCCGGGGGGCCGACATATGACAATCGGGTCCCAGGCCTGTGACGCATGCGCGTGTACCTGCAGTGTAGGGGAGATGACGTCGGGCTTCACCTCCGAGCCACGCATCCCTCTGAGCAGCGGCGCCACAGCCTGTTGCCACTCCGCGCCCTTCGCGCAGGCGCTGATGCCAGCACTGCAGATGATGACGTCGGGCTCCACCTTCGAACCACACATCTCGCGCAGCAGCGCTAACGCCCGTTGCCACTGTCCGCCATTTTCGCACGCGCTGATTCCAGCGTTGTAACTGACCAGGGCTGACCTGTGGACCAAGTCCACGAAAGCTGCCCGAGCTGGCATATGCTGGTGGACATGCATTCGAAAGGATGACTTGATGACGTGGGGCTCGAACTTCGCATTTCGCGCATGCTACTGCTTGTTGCTGCCTGCTGCCGCTGCTGCGTGCTGTTGCCGCTTGTAGCTGCAAGGTGCTGCAGATGTTGGGTCGGACGTGCCGTCTTGTCAGATCTTTGTTACATTGGACACCCTCTGGGGCGCATCGGGGGCTCCTGCTTGGGCGGCCAAGAGGCTTGCAGAAAGGCTCTGGGATCGCCTGGGAAGCTCGCAGGGCGCTTCCGGGGGAGCCCAAGAGGGCTCCAAGAGGGCATGCTGCTGGGTCGGACGTGCAGTCTTGTTAGATGTTTGTTAAATCGGAAGCCCTTGGGGGCCCCTCTGGGCCTTCCGATTGGGCGGCCGACAAGCTCACAGAAAGGTTCTGGCATCGCCGGGGATGCTCGCAGGGTGCTCTCAGGGGAGCCCAGGTGTCTGGAAGCCATATTGGCGACCTCTTGGGCAATCTGGAGGTGTCTCGGGCCATCTGGGACCGTCTCGGAGCCCGCCGGGGCCCGTCAAGGCCCTCTGGGGATGATTTTGGCCACTTGAGCCGCGTCCCGGTGCCCACCCTTCTGGCACGCATGTCTTGTGGCCGTACAGGCTAGGCCAGGGCTGACCCGTGCACGACGTCCAAGGCATGTGCACGAACTGGCGTACGATGGACATGCTGCCGAAAAGATGAGAAGACGACGTGCCGCTTCGCATTCTGCGCATGCTGCTGCGACCCGCTGCTTGCTGCCGCTGCTGCGTGCTGTTGGCCATACTCTATGTGCCGCTGCTGCGTGATGTTGCTGGAGGAGGAGGAGGAGGAGGAGGAGGAGAAGGAGAAGGACCGCTGCTGCGTGATGTTGCTGCCTCTAGCTGCAGGGTACTGCGGATGGCCAGTTCTGCTCCGTGCGTGCTGCTGCCCGGCTGCCTGCTGCTGCAGGGGGAGGTCTCTCGCGACTTCGGCGTTCTGATGCGACCTGCTGCCAGGACAGGGCCGAAGGGCGAGGCGTCGGGATCGAGAACATGGTTGGAGGCCTGGAAATTGGCACCGACACCAGCACAGGGGGTTGCCTCCACATGGGAAAAATGATCCTAGATTTCGGTGTTGGTGGTAATATTTCGGTCACCCTGGAAACCAAAATATTACCACCATCACCGAGATCGGGATCGTCTTCCCTCGGTGGAGGCACACCGCCGATCTTGGTGTTGGTGTCAACCTCTAGGCCTGCGACATGGAGGCGATCGAGGGGGAGAACTGATGGGCGATCAGCGAAGAGCGAGGAGCGAGAAGGAAGGAGCGGCGACCGAGGGGAGGTGGGCGAGGAGCCTCGGGGTCCGAGAAGGTCTGTCGTCCTTGTAAGCCTCTGGGGGTTGTCTTCGGGCCCTGGAGCCGTCAAGCATAATCCTGGGGTGGAGAGCCTTATCTGGGCAGACCCCCCCAGGGACTGGGGGCCGATCCTGACGGAACGTCCTACATTTTGAAGGGGCGTTGGGTTGGAGGCTCGACGAGTCGATGTCTGCTGCTTGTCAATTTAACTGCTTGCTGCAAATTCTGTTTGCGAATCGTTTGCCTGTTTGTATTGCCTTATGTCCTGCTTTCTGGCTGCCTGGCTTGCTGTTTGCTTCCTTGCCGCGCTTTCTGCTTGCTTACTTGCTGGCTGGCTGGCTGCTTGCTGCTGCTGCTTGCTGATGTTTGCTTCCGAAAGCTTTCGTGGGGTCTCTTGGGCTGAATCTACTCCAGATGTCGTAATAAAAGGGAGGGGGTCTGGACCCTCCAAGACAAGCCATTTCAGACCCCCCCCCCGTGGGAGAACCCTCCAGAATGTCGTCCCCAGACCCCCCCAGGCCCTCCAAGATAGCCTGGAAGAGACCCCCCCCGAAATGAGACCCCCCTCCCTTTATTACGAAATCTGGAGTAGGCCTTGCCATGCATTCTTTGAAGCTTCTCGGGCTACCTTGGGAGCCCGGCTGGGCCTCCTGGGGGTAAAAAACGTGCTGCGGGAGGGGGCGTCTTGGGCCGCCCCGGGGCGATCTTGAGCCGTCTTGGGACAGCATTGAGGACACGGCTGGAACTTAAGAAGAGCATGTGCGTCTTATTCTCTGATGTGTAATTCTCTTATGTGTAACGAGGTTCCATCTTGGCTGCGGTCGTCCGAGGAGGTTTGAGGATGCCCGCGGGCTGCGTAGCACTGCGGAGCATGCTCCTGGTGGCTGGCGGTTCTGGAGCACTCTCAAGGGTAACTCCTCTACGGGCCGCCCAATCAGACTGGAGCCGCTCCAACGGATTGAGGAACAAAAAGAAGTGCCTGGGTGCCGAATTTCTGTGTGGCTGGCGCGGCCCCGAAGCTCTCTAAGGTCTAAGGCATCTTCCATTGGAAGCCTCTTGGAGGCGGTTTTGGGAGTGTCTTGGGGCTTCTCGGGGGCCTCTTGGGGCCTGATTTGGGTCTCTTGGGGGCCTCCTGGGGCTTCTGGGGGAGCTTATGGGGGCAAAGGGCGCGGAATGTCAGGTCGAGGTAGCGTTTTGGGGGCCCTCTCGGGCCGTCTTGGGGGCCGCTTGGGCAGTCTTTTGGCCTTCTTGGGCCGTCGGGGGGGCATCCCTTGGCGGCCTGTTTGCCCGAGTTGGGGCGATCTTGGGGGCCTCTTGGGCCGTCTTGGAGCGTCGGAAGCCCGAAAAGGCGAGAACATCACAATCAGCGAGAAGACTCAAAATTATTTTGGCCTCTCGGGGTCCTCTTGGGAGGCCTCTCGGAGCCCTCTTGGGCCGTCTTGCGGCCCTGTTGGGCCATTTGGAAACCACTTTGGTGATCTTGCACCGTCGCGAAGCCCGCCGGGGCCGATTAGGGCCACTCTTAGACCGTCTCGGGGCCCGCCAGGGGCCGCTGGGGCCGATCTGGATCACTTGATGCAACCACCCTTCTGGCAGGCGCCGCGCCCAACCATCTAACGTAGACTTGTGCTGGCCCGTGCTTGTGGTGGGGAGCCTCGCGGTCGAATAAGCTGCTGGCTGCGCCTGTGGGGTGTGCTCGAGGACGGCGGCTGCCCAAGTCGGATGAGGATCTTGGTTCGTCAGGGCGTCATTTCGGTCCGTTTGGAAGAACGCCTGCCGTCTTGGAGCTCTGCTGGGCCCTCTCGGCACGCTCTTGGGCCGTCTTGGGCCGTCTCGGAGGCTTGGCCTCTTGGGGGCCTCTCGGGCCGTCTTGGGGCGCTCTGGGAAGCCCCAGGGGCCGTCTTGGGCTGTCGGGAGCCCGAAGACGAGATAGCGCGGAAATCTTTGAACAACATGACAATCAACGACACTTGCCCTTTGAAGCCGCACTGGGGAGTCTCCTGGGACCGTCTCAGGGCGCCATGGGATCCTTCTGGGCCGTGTTATAAAAGCATCTTGGGCAATCCCAGTGCGCTCCTCGGCCATCTCGGGCCGACGACGACCATCCGGGGCCGCTCCGAAGGCCACCAGGGCGGCGCCGAGAACCCGGTTGGAGTGGCCCGGGGCGGCTGGTTCGAGGCGACTGGAGCCCCTTTCGAAAACGCGGATCCAAGTATCTCAGTAGAGATGCTGTTGGGCTCCACCTTCGCCTCCCGCATCTCGCTTAGCAGCGCCAAAGCCCGCCCCCACGGCTCGCCCTTCGCGCATGCACTGATGCCAGCACTGTAGCTGATGACGTCGGGCTCCACCTCCGAACCCCGCATCCCTTCGAGCAGTGCCAAAGCGTATTGCCACTGCCCACCCCTCTCGCACGCGCTGATCCCAGCGCTGTAAATGATGACTAAGGCTGACCCGTGGACTCCGTCCCCGACATCTTTCTGGAATGGTTCTCGGAGGAACGGCGGAGATGTTGCCGAACACCTGTAAGCACTGCGGCGACCGGGGCGGTGGCAGCGAGACCGCGCCTTCGTGTCCGAGCTCTTGCAGCTCTCCAGCAGCTTGACCCCGGCGCACGGCTCGTTCGCCCCCCTCCTATTGAGGGCAGCTTTGAAGTCTCTCGGGGATGTGCGTCAAAATCGAAATCCATCTGAGGCGTCTCAGGAGCGACCGGGTAAGGGCTCGGGAGGCCCTCGGGGAAAGTCAGCAGGAGCGTCGGGGAGGCTCGCAAGCATCTCCAGGGAAGGCTCAAGAGAGCTTCAAGAAGGTGTGACAGGTAATAAGATCTTAACGGAAATCGATGTTGGGTCGGACGTGCTCCGCTACGTTGGGGAGGCCGTTTTGTTGGAGCTCTGTTGAAGGCGAAGCTCTCTCGGGCGTGTCAGAAGCGCCAGGCCCCCTTTCTTGGAGGCAGTTTTGAAGCCTCTTTGGGCCTATTGGGGGGTTGCGGGCCTCTCAGGTCCTCTTGTGGGCCTCTTAGGGGCCTTTTTGGACCTTCTTGGGCCGTCTGGACTCCTCTTAGGCCGTCTTGGTGCCACGTTCAACGCTCCGTACGTCATCTGGACCCTCATGAGGCTCTCTTCTGGGCCTTCTCGGGTTTCCTCCTCCGCTTCCTCCTCCTCCGCCGCCTTCTTGCCTCGATCCTGCATGCTCTGGATCTTGGATCGTCAATCGTAGACCCTCGGAGCATCGAAAACGGCTATTGGGGCCTGCGTTCTGCCTCTCACCTCTCGTCCGCCCCCCCTCTGTTGGAAGGAATTCTGTAGCCACTTAGGGCCTCTGGGGATCCGTGTGGGGGCCTTGTGGGGCTTCTTTTCGGCTTCGAGGGGGCCTCTTGGGGTCCCCTTGGGCTCTCGTCGGTGCCGGTGGGGCCGTCTCGGATCCGTCTTGGGCGCCTCTGGTGCCGCCCGGGGGCCGCCTTGGGCCGTCTTGGGCGGCTCTTGGGGCTGTCTTGGGTGCCTTCTGGGCCGTCTTGCGGCCGTCGTGGGCCGTCTCGGGCGCCCATTGGGCCGTACTCGGGCAGTCTTCAGGGCTGTCTCGGGTGCAGTCTTGGGCGCCTCTGGGGCCCGCCCTGGGCCCGTCGTGGGGCCCCGATGGGGGGCATCTTGAGGCGATCGTGGGGGGGCTCCGTGGCCGTCGTGGACGCGTCGGCGACGAAAAGCACGAGAAAACCAAACATGCGAGTTTTCCGGGGGGATGGGGCGGAGGAGGAGGAGGAGGAGGAGGAGGAGGAGGAGGAGGAGGAGGATGAGGATTTTTGCGTTTTGGGGCTGTCCTGGGGAATCCTCGAGGGCCGTCTTTGGAAGCTCCTGGCCTGCCCTTGGGGCCCTTGGGGCCGTCGGAGCGGCCTCTTGAGCGGCTCGGAGCGCCCTTGGGGCTGTGGGGATGGCCTCTGAAGCGTCTCGGCGCTGTCATGGGGCCATCGGGGCGCCCTCTTGAGCGGCTCGGAGCCGCCGGAAGGCGCTCTGTCCAGAAACCCTTCTCGCATGCACTGTTCCCGGTATTGTAGGGGAGACCAGTGTGAACCCGTGGTAAATCCACGGCTGGCAGGTCAAGGTGTCGGTCCCGAAGGCGCATGTGTCCCCGATGCCCGAGGGTTTGCTTCGGGGCTTGTTGTATTCTCCAGGCCCCGGGGCTGGTGGCTGTCTTCGAGTGTCTTGGGAGAGTCTGGGCTATCTCTGAGTGGTCCCTGGGCTGTCCGTGTGGCATCGAATGCTTCCCGCAGTCCAGTCTCGCTGCAGCCTCTTGCAGGAGGAGGAGGAGGAGGAGGAGGAGGAGGAGGAGGAGAAGGAGGAAGAGGAAGAGGAGAAGGAGGCGGAGGAGGAGGAGGAGGAGGAGATGGAGGAGGAGGAGGAGGAGGAGGATTAGGAGGAGGAGGAGGAGGCGGAGGAGGAGGAGTATTAGATGGAAGATGAGGGTGAGGATGAGGAGGATGAGGATGAGGATGAGGATGGGGATGGATGATGATGATGATGATGATGATGATGATGATGATGATGATGATGATGATGATGATGATGATGATGATGATGATGATGATGATGATGATGATGATGATGATGATGATGATGATGATGATGATGATGATGATGATGATGATGGGGAGGAGGAGGAGGAGGAGGAGGAGGAGGAGGAGGAAGAGGAGGAGAGCGGTATATACTGGAGAAGCGGAGGGTGCAGGCTCCCAGAGGAGGAAGCCGAGGCAGAGAAGATAGGAGAAGGTCCCCCTCGCCACCCCTAATCGGAAGGGGGGTGGAGGAGGAAGAGAGCAGTCCAGAGAGAGGGAGGTGCAGGCTCGCAGACGCGGAAGCCAGGGTAGAGAAGATGGAAGAAGGTCTCCCTTGTCAGCCCTAATCGGTGGGAGGGGGCTCGAGACGTGACGCGGTGCCCTCGTGGGCCATCCCTGGTCTCTAACAGCTCGCGGAGCTCTCTTGGGCCATTGTGCGGCCACCGTGGGGCCCTCTCGGGCCGTCCAGGAGGCCTCCACTGCCGTCGTGGGGCCCTGATGAAGGTCTGGGGCTGTGTTGAAGCTCGGTTTGGGCCGTCTTGGGCAGCTTCTGGGGCGCCTCGGGAGGTCACCTGGAACTCCATCAGGCCGTCGGGGGCATGTCTTGGGCCGGCTTGGGGCCCTCTTGGGCCGTCTTGGTGCGCTCGTCGGGGCCTCTTGGACTATCGCGGAGCTGTCGCGAGAATGCCTGGAGCCGTTCTGGACCTGGCATGGCGAGTGTGGGGCACGTAAGACAACTTATGGCTTTTGCTTGATTTCTACTCTCATGGGTCCATCTCGGAGTCCTCGTGGGCCTTCTTGGACCATCCCAGGGGATTCCTGGGCCATCTTCGAGCCATGGTGGGGGTATGGGGCCATCTGGGAGTCTTGTTTTGGCCCTCCTGGGCAACTCCTGGGGCGTCTTGGGGGGCCACTTGAAGCTCTATTAGGCTCTCCGGGCCTGTTCTGGGCCGTCTTGGGGCCCCCGTTGGGCCCTCTTGAATCATCTTGGTACGATCTTGGAAGGACCTGGGGCCGTGTGGGTGGGGTCCTGAGCCCGTCATGGAGAGAACGTGGAAAACCATGGAGAATACATCGGTTTTGCCTTTCTATTCGCCTCGTGGGGCTCTCTTGGGCCGTCCCGGCGGCCGTTTGGGCCATCGTAAGGCCAGGGTAGGGGTCTGGGGCTGCGAACATCGTGGGCCCTGTTGTGTAGCTCCTGGGACACCCTTGGGGGGCCACTTGAGGTTCTATGAGGCTCTCCGAGGCCTGTTCTGGGTCGTCTTGGGGCTCTCATGGGCCGTCTTGGTGGACTCGTGAGGGCCTTTTGGGTCATCTTGGTGCGAGTGTGAAAGGACCTGGAGCTGTGTTGGGCCGTTCTGAGCCCCTCATGGAGAGAACGTGGAAAACCTTGAAACATGCATGGATTTTGCTTGCTTTTCGACTCGTGGGGCGTCATCGGGGTCCTCCTGGGCCCTCGTGAGCCGTCCCAGGGGCCTATGGGGTCATCTTGGGGCCTGGGTGGGGGTCTGGAGCCATCTGGGAGCCCGGCGTGGGCCCCGTTGTGCAGCCCTTGGGGCTTTCTTGGAGGGCCCCAGGGGCCCTGAGGGCGCTCCGGGCCGCTCTGGGTCGCTTCGGGCGCTCGGGGGCAGCTCTTTCACTGCTTACCCTTTTCGCATGCCCAACACCCAGAATTCTAGTGCAGATGGCGTCGGGCTCCACCTTCGCCTCCCGCATCTCGCTCAGCAGCGCCAGAGCCCGCTCCCACTGCCCACCCTTCTCGCACGCGCTGATCCCAGCGCTGCAGACGATGACGTCGGGCTCCAGCTTCGCCTCCCGCATATCGCTCATCAGCGCCAAAGCCTGTTGCCACTGCCCACCCTTCTCGCATGCGCTGATCCCAGCGCTGTAGACGACTAGTGTTGTTGAACCGTGTACTCCGTCCACGATTTCGACGACCTGGCATGTGGTGGTGGACATGCTGCCGAAAGGTTGACATGCTGACGTGGGGCTCGCGTGCTGCTGCTTGCTACCGCTGCTGCGCGTTGTTGGTAATGCTTGCTGCTGCTGCTGCTGCTGCTGCTGCGTGCTGTTGCTGCTTGTAGCTACAGGGTGCTGCTGAAGACCAATTCTGATATGTGCGTGCTGCTGCGCGTTGCCTGCTGCTGCTTGCTGTCGCTGTGCGTTCCCGCTGCTGCTGCTGCTGCCCGCTTCGCGCTGCTGCCGTTCGCTTGCTGCTTGATCCTGCAGGGTGATGCATATCGCGACTTCAGCGTTCTGACGCAGCCTGCTGCCATGAGAGGATCAAAGAGCGAGACTTCAGGATCGGGAACGCTGATGGGCGATCAGCGAAGAGCGAAAAGGAGCGACGGCCGAGGGGAGATGGGCGAGGAGCGTCTAAATTCGAAGAACTTTGTCGTCCTTGTAAACCTCTGGGGGCTGTTTCGGTTTCAGGGGTCGTCAACAATCAATCCGGGGCAGGTGGGAGACCAGTCCCGACAGACCCCCCAAGGAGGGCCGATTCCTCAGGGATTGCGTCGATTTTGAGGGCGTTCGATTGGAGGCTTGAAGAGTGGATGTCTGCTGCTTGTTACTTTAAACTGTTTGATGCAAGTGCTGCTTGCGAACAATTTGCATGTTGTTTGTGCTGGTTTGTTGTTTGCTGTGCGCTTGCTTGCTGGCTGGCTAGCTCCCTGGCTTGCTTGCTGCTTGCTTGCCTGTTGGCTTGCTGGCTTGCTGCGTCCTGCATGCAGCTTGCTTCCGAAAGCTGTAATGGGGCCTCCTGGGCTGAATCTCGGCTCATGTCTTTTTTGAGGCTTCTTGGGCTACCTTGGAGGGCCCCCAAAAAGAAAAGAGCCAAATCGTCAAACTTCGATTCTTTCTCATTTGATGTTAGCATCGCCGCCTTCTCGGTCTTGAGAGCGGCGACCACGGCCCAAGAGGGCTCAACCATCGGCCCGAGACGGCCCAAGAACGCCCAAGGAGGCCCAAAAGGCCCCCACGATGGCCCAAAGGAAACCCAGATACATAATTGGAGGCCGGGTTCTGGGGGAATCCGTCACTGGCAAGGTCTCTGGCGGGCAGGCGATGCTTCTATTGTGGCCTGACTTGGCCGTCTTGGGGGCTCTGGGGGCGGACTCGAGAAACCAGAATCGTCAAAATACCATTGCTTTCCGTATGGTCTTAGCATCGCCGCCTTCTCGGTCTGAAGTGTGTCGACCACGGCCCAACAGGGTCCCACTATCTCCTGAAGACGGCCCAAGAAAGCCACAAGAGGGGCCCAGGTGGCCTCCAAGACGACCTCATAATAGGCCCAGCAAAGGGGCAAAATACGTGGGCAGCGGGTTCTGGGAACGCGGGGCCGGCGGGCTTCGGGCGGATCGCGAGGCGGTCGGGTCGCAGGAAGGTCCCAAGCGCCGCTCTGGCCCACCCGCCCTCTCACTCTAATCCACGACTGCGGGGTGGTACGTATCTGGCAGATTTTGGCGTTCGTGCACTTTCGGCTCCCCGACGTTCCCAGACAAGCCCCCAAGATTGCCCCAAGACTGCTCAACAGCCCTCCAAGAGGGCGCCGAGACGGCCCAAGAGGGCCCCCAGGCGGGCCAAGAGGCCTCCAAGACGGCCCACTAAGCCCCGAAGACGGCTCGAAGAGGGGGCCCAAACGGGGGGCTCGACAGGAGACTTCGAGCTCTCGGCCCCGAGAAGCCCTCTAGGGGCCCCGAGAGGGCCCGAGCATGTACCAAGACGTCACCCAGAGGGCCCGAACAAGTGCCAAGGCGTCCCCCCCTGGGCCGTCAGGGGGCCTGGGGCTTCTTCTCGGCCTCGTGGGGGTCCTTTGGGGCCCTCTTGGGCCGTCTTGAACAACTCTTGGGCTGGCATGTGGCCGTCTTGGGCTGGCTTGGGCGCCTCTGGGGCTGTCTTGGGGCCGTCTTGGGCCGTCTTGGGCGGCTCTTGGGGCCGTCTTGGGTGCCTCTTGGGCTGTCTTGGGCGCCTCTGGGGCTCTCCTGGGGCCATCTGGGGCCGTTGGAGCCCTCATGGGGGCATCTTGCATTGCCGTCGTGGACGCCTCTGGGCCTGTCTTGGGGCTCCCTGGGGTGCTCTGAGGCCGTCCTCGCGCTCCCTCGAGCATCTCAGAGCCGTCCTGAGGCAGTGTCGGGGCATCTGGGAACCCTCTGGGGCCGCTGCGGGGCCTGGAGGAATCCATTGGTGCAGAAACCCTCATCGCACGTACCCGTCCCCGTATTGTAGGAGAGACTAGGGCGGACCCGTGGGCAGCCGTCCACGAAATCTGTTCGAAGTGGCATGGGATGAGATGTTGGGAACGCTGCCGAAACTCGCTCACATTGACGTCGGCCGGGCGGGCCTCAGCAGCGAGAACGAGGAAACGAGCAAGGAGTGGGCAGGGAGGAGGTATGAGAAGCGAGGAAGGAGCAATGAGTAAGCAGCCGCTGCGGGGCTCTCTGACCCTGAAGAGCTCATGAAGCGCTCGTGGGGCTGGCAGGAGGGGGATGCGAGGAGGAGGAGGAGGGAGTCATAAGCGAGCAGCCAGGAGTAGGGAGCGAGGGGCCAGGAGAGAGGAACGAGTTGTGGGAATAGCAAGGGGCGGTTAGATAGGGGCGAGGAGTGACGGGCCTGGGAGAGCGCCAGGGAGGAGCCGCGGGAGGGCTCCGCGGACTGGTGAGGATCGCTTGCCTGCTGGTCTGCCGCCTGCTGTCCTACCGTCGTGGTGGCTGGACTAGTGTCCTGATAGCTTTTCGCCGAGCTTTCTTACGTCCGCTCCCTGTCGCTTCTTGTCGCTTGCTGATGCTAGGTGCTGCTTGCACATGCATGTTCTACTTTCTCACGTCGCAAACGCTTGATGTTGGCCGTGGAGTGCTGCTGCTTGATGCGGCTTGACGGTGCTGCGTGCCCGAGGGGCCTCTGCGGCGTTTTGGAAGTAAGTTTGGGCCATCTTGGAAGCCTCTCGCGGAGCAGTTGGACCGCTTGAGGGTGCTCCCGTGGGTCTCTTCGGAATCTCGTCAAAGCCCTCGGATGCCTCTGGAGGGAGGCTTATTGGAGGCGTCCTTGTGGCCTCTTTGGGGGGTCTGCGGGAGCTTCGTGGGGATCTCTTGGGGGCATCTTGAGGCCATTACGGGGCATCTTGTGGCGTTTTTGGGCCGTCCGTGGGCACCGTGGGGCTCCTGGAGCCAGCTTGGTGCGTCTCGGGGACCATCTTGTGCCCTCTGGGGCCGTCTTGGGGCCGGCTCTTTTGGGCCGTTTTGGGAACCCTTGGGCCATCTTGGGGCCTCAGGGGCCCCTCTCATTGGCCTCCTTGGTCGTCTTGGAACCATCCTAGAAGCCCGTTGGGCCATCTTGGGCTGGCGGAAGCCTGCGAAGACGAGACCACCGGAATCCTCAACACAACTAAAGCAACTAAATGTTTTTTGTCTCTTGGGGCCCTTCTAGGAATCCTCTTGGTGGTCTGCCAGGTCGTCTTGGGGGCCTCTCGGTCCCTCTTGCGGGCCTTTGGGGGGGTATCATCGGGTCGCTCCTGGAGCCAACCTCTGCCATTTCGGGCCTTGCGGAGGGCTATTTTGGGCGGCATCTTTGCGCCGTCTTCGAGCTCATGGGACTCTCGAGGGGCCTTCGAAGCCAACTCGATGCAGGAGCTTTCTGGCCCCCGCGGGAACCTGCAACGTAGAGGGGAAAGAAAATGACGTCGGGCTCCACATTCTCCTCCCACATCTCGCTGAGCAGCGCCAAAGCCCGCTGCCACATCGCTCCTTTCTCGCACGCGCTGATCCCAGCGCTGTAGCTGATGACGTCGGGCTTCAGCTTCGTCTCCCACATCTCGCTGACCAGCACCAACGCCCGCTGCCATTGCCCACCTTTTCCGCACGCGCCAATCGTCGCAACGTAGTGCCCTGGGAAAAGTTTCACACCTAACTGAATTCCTTCGCGGAGGAACTGCAATGCTGCACTCCATTGTTTAGTTTGTGCGCAATTCTTGATTGCTACTTCGAGGGAAATGGCTCCTGCTCGAGACCCTCGCCAAGTGTCTAGCATCCAGAACCTGTTGGACCAATATCGTTTGAGCCGAAAAGGCTGGAGCCCAAATGGCTACGGAGTCCATCCAGAAGGGAATGAGGAGCAGGAAAGGGGGGAGCAGGAGGAGGGAAAGGAGAGGGGGTAGGACAAGCTAGGTGGGCTCGCGTCATATCTGACGTCCTCCCCCTCCCTCCCATCCCTTGCCATGGCATAGATCTTCTCTCTATTCGCCCAATCGGATGTCGAGCAGGGCAATGTTCTCGAGAGGGTGCGCGATGCATGCAGAGCACGGCATAGCAGGGCGTAGAAGAGCACGGCAGAGCGTAGTATGTCATAGCATGGCGTGGCGTTGCGTAGTGAATCATTTCATCACAAAGCATTGCAACGCAATTAATGGCATCGCACAGCGGCACATAACAGAACATGTCATACCATGGCGTTGAATATCACAGCGTAGCATGACATAGCATTGAATGGCATTGCGTAGTTAAGCACTGCATCTCCGAACATTGCAGCTGAAAGCATGGCATCGCACAGCGGAACACCACATAGCATTGCGTTGCATGCCGTGGCATGCCACTTGCCACTGGAAATAATGACGCCAGCGCTTCAGCGGGAGAACGATTCGGAACTAGCGGAAGCGCGGAAATGAGGCCAACGCTGCAACGGGAGCACGATTCGGAACGAGCGGAAGCGCGGAAATGAGGCCAACGCTGCAGCGGGAACACGATTCGGCACGAGCGGAAGCCCGAACATGAGGCTAGCGCTTCAGCGGGAACAAGATTTTTTAAACAGAAAGCACAAGCGAAAATCCAACTCCCGGGAACCCTGTAAAACACAATACGCGAAGGGGGGCCGGACATTTTCGGACGCCATCAGGGGAGAGAGGAGAAGAGTATCCATATTGTGTAATTGTGCAGGAGGAGGAAGAGGAGGAAGAAGAGGAGGAGGAGGACGAAGAGGATGAGGAGGAGGACGAGGAGGAGGAGGAGGACGAGCAGGATGAGCCACTTACCCCCCGACACCTGGCATAGACATCCTCCGCAATTTGTTTGACAACCTGGCTCCCCAGAAATCTGGTACTCATCCTGGGGGGAAATTTCTCGCCCTGGGTCGCTTTTTGACGGTACCGAGGCCCGACGAGGACCTGGAGTCAACAATTGCTAAAAAACCTTCCGTTGCTTAATCCTGAGCATCCTATGGTGTTGGGTCCTCGTTTTGAAAAGACAGCGTCCCGCGTCCTCACCTCCCGCTGCCCGTCCTCCCTCCTCCCGTCCCTGCCTCCGCCCTCCGCGTGCATATTTTATTCATTTTGGCACACCCCTTCCACGTTTCGTGGCCCCATACGCAGCTCCACTGCTGGCCCCAGTGGCAGGGTTCGCATGGCGGCGCCGCCTCCATTTTGGCACATCTCTCACTCGCTCCGTAGCCCCACTGTAAGCTCCACCGAAGGCCCCCAGTCGCAGGGTTCGCATGCGGGCGCCGTCCCCATTTCGGCAGTCTCCTAGCACGTTTCGTCAGGGTTCGCATGGCAGCGCCGCCTCTATTTCAGCACACCCCTCACGCGTTTCGTTTCGTGGCACCATCGTGAGCTCCGCCGAAGGCCCCAATGGCAGGGTTCGCGCGGCGGCGCCGTCTCGATTTCGGCACACCCATCACAAGTTTCGTGGCCCCACAGGAAACTCCGCCGAGAGCCCCAATGACAAGTTTCGCATGCGGGCGCCACCTCCATGTCGGCATAACCCATCAACAAGAAACGTTGTGGCACCCCATGAGGGGCTCCAACCCCCAATGGAGACAAGCTGGTTCACCCAATCGCGATTCACCTGCTCCGATTCACCGGACACCTGATCCAAGTGAATCGCGACCCGGTGAGTCAACCCGGGAGAATTAACGACCAGGTGAGTTAAGCACCGGCTGAATTTAGGCATCGGGTGAGTTAGGCGCTGGGTGAACTAGGCACTGGGTGAATTAGGCATCGGGTGAGTTAGGCACCGGATGAATTTGGCACCGGGTGAGTTTGGCACTGGTTGAGTCGAACTCCGGATTGATTAAGCACCGGGTGAGTTAGGCACTGGGTGAGTTAGGCACTGGGTGAATTTGGCACTGGGTGAGCTTGGCACTGAGTAAATTAGACACCCGATTAAGTAAGCACCAGGTGAGCTAGGCACCGGGTGAATTAGACTCTGGATGAGTTAAGCACTGCGTGATGCAGACACTGGGCGAGTCAGGCACCGGGTGAGTTTGGCACGGGGTGAGTTAAGCATTGGGTGAATTAGGCACCAGGTGAGTTAGGTGCTGGGTGATTTAAACACCGCTTGAGTCAGGCACCGGATGAATTAAGCACCGGGTGTGTTAGGCACTGGGTGAGTTAGGCGCCGGGTGAAATAAGCACCAAGTGAATTAGGTATCGGGTGAGTTAGGCACCGGGTGAGTTCGGCACTGGGTGAGGTAGTCACCGCGTGAGTTAGCGACCAGGTGAAGGTGTCGGGTGAGTTAGCGACTGGGTGAGTTAGGCGCTGGGTGGAACAGGCATTGGGTGAGTTAGGCATCGGGTCAATTAGGCATCAGGTGAATTTGACTCTCCGGGTGAATTTGGTACCAGGTGAATTTGGCGACAAGGTGTCTACGTGGACTGGGAGCGGGAGCAGAAGCTGTATCAGGAGGTGCAGAGGAAAAGGGAGGTCGCTAAGGGTGACGGGCGCGACGGGGACCAGGCCCGCAGTTCCGGGTACCACGACACCTGGACTGGAGAGCGCCCGCGGCGCTGATTGTCGTCGGCCCTACCTCACCTGCCCCACAGCACCACTGCATAACTTGCCAACCACTCCCACTACCTGCGCCCCCGTCCCCGATCCACACCCCCACCTGACACCCGGCTGGGGACTGGGTGTCCCTCTCCCCCCTTTGCCTGCACCCCATCGCCCTTGTGGCGCCCGCGTTCCACGTGCTGGCTACCCACCCTTCCACCTGGACCCCGTCCTCTCCTCCTCCTCCCATCCTTCTCTCCAATTTCCAAAGGATCTGAGAGTCTGTGTCCTACCTGTACCCATCGGCTGATTGAGATTCAAGGACCTGGGGCTCTGTGTCCCCCCTGTGCCCATCGGCTGTTTCCAAAGGGTCTAGGACTCCGTGTCCTAGCTGTGCCCATCGGCTCATCGTGACTCGAGGATCTGGGACTCTGTGTCCCCCCTGTGCCCATCGGCTGAACGAGATTCAAGGATCCGGGGCTGTGTGTCCCCCCTGCGCCCACCTGCGACGCATTGGTGCGCTAACGACGTGCCTGACACGCCCGCGCTGGGGCCCCGGGTCTTACCTGTACGCGTTGGGGCCTGTCCCCACGTGAGCACCTCAGTGCATGCTGGCGGGGCTCCGCCTGGCGTTGGACGCTGGCCTATGTCCTCCCTGTTCGCTTCTTCCCTCCCCGCTCGCTTTCCCCCCCTCCCATGGTGGCGGCGCCCGGCGCGGCGCGGCTCCGGCCCGGCGCTGGCACTGCACCTTGCCGCCTTGGCGGCCCCGCTCACCCTGGGCAGCGCGGCTCAGGCCCGGCCCGCGGCAGGCGGACACAGACGGCCCTTCGGGCCGAACCTCTTGGCTGCTACCTGGACGTGGATTGGACTACCACCCCAGGCCGCTACCGACCACCCAGTGGCACAACGTTGCACATCGCCTTCGTGGTCCTCCTCATCTCCAGGGTGGTGGCACCTGGCGCGCTTCGCCTACCTGGTCTTCCTCTACCTCACGGGCGTCGACCTGGTCACGGCCCTCCCCACGCAGCACTCGAGGATGGTGGTTCTGACGCGCCGTTGACGGCAACGCCACTTCGCTCTCCCTCCAGGACTTCGCCTTCGGCTCCTGTCCAAGGCGTACCTCTTCCTGTGCAAGCTCTTCGGCACCGCCTGCACCCCGCGCCCTCCGGCCGCCTGAGGCCCCGCCCGCCCGCGCCCTGTCTCCCCAATTCGTGCTTTGCGCGCCCCGCCTAGCTCTTAACCGGAAGAGGCCCGCTCTCGACCCGCCGACCAAACATTTGACACGGTAAGGTGCGTGCCGGGTGAGCGGGGTGAGCAGTGACCCTCGTGTCCCTCTCTATCTCATTCACCTCCTCTCCTCCTTCCACCCCCGCTCTTTTTTCCTCTCAGCTCGCGGCATTTTATAGCGCGTCTCTTCCCTGTGTCAGTGCCTTATTCCTTGGTGCCTCCCCAAACAGCGGCGTTTTGTAGCGCCTCCTTTCCTCGTGCTTTTTCTCAGTGAGTTAGGCGGTAAGTGACTTCTGCGACAAGTGACTGCGGCCAGGTGAGTTCGGCGCTAAATCAATTCCGACCCTGGTGTGTTTGGCAAGGTGAGGTGCGTGCCGGGTGAGCGGGGTGAGCAATGACCCTCTTGTCCTTCTCTCTCTCTCTCTTTTTCCCGTCCTCTCCTCCTTCCCTCTCTCTCTCTCTTTCCCGACCTCCCCTCCTTCCCCCCCGCTGTTTTTCTCAGCCCGCGGCGTTTTGTAGCGCGTCTCTTTCATATGTGCGTTATCCCTTGTAAAGCATGGGCTCGGGGTGCTTTCCAAAACAACGGCGTTTTGTAGCGCCTCCTTTTCTTGTGGCGGTGCGGGTGCATCTTCTGCAGCGTTATTTTCGAATCTCCTGGGCTCTTCTCCACAGGCGCCAACTTCTAGCGCCTCTCTTTCTTGTGCGAGACGGCGTCTTTTTCTCAGTCATTCTTTGGCGCGTGCTCAAAAACAGCGGGGCGTTTTGTAGCGCCTGTTAAGCGGGTGTCAGTGTCGGCGATTCCGCTGAAGCGCCGGGTGACATAGGCGGTGAGGGACTCCCGCGACAAATGACTGCGGCTAAATGAGTTCGGCGCCCGGAAAATTCCGACACGGGTGTGTTTGGCACGGTGAGGTGCGTGCCGGGTGAGCGGGGTGACCAATGACCCTCTTGTCCCTCGCTCTTTCTTTCTCTCTCTCTCTCTCTCTTTCCCGTCCTCTCCTCCCCCCCCGCTATTCTTTCTCAGCCCGCGGCGTTTTGTAGCGCGTCTCTTCCCTGTGTGAGTGCGTTATTCTTTGTTCAGCGTTGGCTGGGGGTGCTTTCAAAAGCAGCGGCGTTTTGTAGCGCCTGCTTTTCTTGTGGCGGTGCGGGTGTATCTTCCGCAGCGTTGTTTTCGAGCCGCCTGGGCTCGTCTCCACAACGGCGGCACTCCCTAGCGCGTCTCTTGCTTGTGCGAGCTGTCGCTTTCTTCTCAGTCCTGGGGTGGCACCCTCTCAAAAACAACGGGGCGTTTTGTAGCGACTCTTCCGCGGGTGTCGGTGTTGGCATTTCCGCTGAAGCGCCAGGTGAGCTATGCGGTGGGTGATTTCCGCGACAAATGAATGCGGCCGGGTGCGTTCGGCGCGAGGTGAGTTCCGATCCGGGTGTGTTTGGCACGGTGAGGTGGGCACCGAGTGAGCGGGGTGAGCAATGACCCTCTTGTCCCTCTCTCTCTCTCTCTCTTCCGTCCTCTCCTCCTTCCTCCTCCCGCTCTCTTCCTGTCAGCTTGAGTCGCCGCCGGCGTCGGCGTCGTCGCCGCCCCGCCCTGTGCCTCTGCCGCCGTGTGGGGCGCGTGTTCCGATTCCGTCCGATCTGATGTTAGGCCGATTCGAATCAAAGTTTCACATTGGATTGAAGGGGGACCTGGTGAGTCAGACGCTGTGTGAGGTTGGCGCCGTTTTTTGTTGTTGTCTCTCTCTCTCTCTCTTTCTCCCTCTCGTTCTCCACCACGTTCTAACTGGGGTTCTTGTTTTCTCTGGACACCTCGCGCAGGCACAGGAAGCCACCTACATCACCATCATCATAATCATCACAGTCATCATCACCATCATCATAGCCATAATCATAACCAGCATAATCATGGCCAGCATTACCATGATCATCCTAATCGTGATGCTCATGATCATCGCCATCATGATCATGACCATGACCATGATCATCATCATTAACATCATCATCACAATCACCATCACCTGTCATCCCACTGCACCATCATCATAATCATGATCGTGATCATGATCATCCTCAGGCCTGGATCTGGAGGGAGCATCAGGCGGGAGCCTCCTCTGTGAGTGGATTGCGAGGAAGCCTCAGGCGGGAGCTTCGTCTAAGAGTGAATCGCGAGGAAATCTCATGCGAGAGCCTCCTCCCTATGTGGCCCGCAATACATGTTTTTAATCTGAGCGGGCCATCCTCAAATCTGTAACTGTCGTCACGTTTGGGCTCCGCAAGCTTGAATCTAGAGGGGGGATCAGGCGGGAGCCTCGTCTGTGAGTGAATTGCGAGGATGTCTCATGCGGGAGCCTCCGTCCGATGGGGGGCCAAGATTTTTCTTCTTAACCCGAGCGGGCCGTCCTCAAACCTGTAACCGTCGTCACCTGTGGGCTCTACAAGCCTGAATATGGAGGGAGTATCAGGAGGGAACCTCTTCTGTGAGAGAATTGCGAGGAAGTCTCAGGCGGGAGCCTCGTCTGGGAGTGGATGGCGAGGAAGTGTCAAGCGGGAGACTCCTCCCTTCCCGATGGGACCCGCACGTCATATGTTTTATATGGGCGGGTCATTTTCAAACCTGCATCTGTTGTCACTTTTGGGCTCCACAGGCATGGGTCTGAAGGGGATATCGGGCGGGAGCCTCGTCTGTGAGCGAATTGCGAAGAAGTCTCAAGTGGGAGCGTAGTCTGGGAATGGCGAAGAAGTCTCAAGCGGGAGCTTCCTCCATTCCTAATGAGGCCAACAATTTTATTTTCAACCGAAGCGGGCCATCCTCAAACCTGTAACTGTCGTCACTTTTGGGCCCCTCAGGCCTTAACGCAGAAGGCATATCAGGCGGGAGCCTCGTCTGTGAGTGACTTGCGAAGAAGTCTCAGGCGAGAGCCTCGTCTGTTAGTGAATTGAAAAGGGCATCTCAAGCGGGAGCCTCCTTCCTTTGAGGCCCCGAACTCATATTTTGAATTCGAGCTGGTCATCCTCAAACCTGCTGTAACTGCACTTTTGGGCTCCGCAAGCCTGACCATGGAGGGAGTATGAGGCGGGATCCTCGTCTGTGAATGAATTGCGAGGACGTGTCAGGCGGGAGCCTTGTCTGGGAGTGAATTTCGAGGAAGTCTGAAGCGGGAACCTTCTCCCTTCCCTATGGGGCCAACAGCTTATTCCCAACCATCCTGTGGTGTTGGGTCCTCGTTTTGAAGAAGCGCTCCCCGCGTTCCTCCTCCTTCCTCCCTCCCCCTCCTCCCCCTCCTCCCTCCTCCCTGCGTTTCACCCACCCAATACAATGTTTCGTGACCCCATAAGGAGCTCGAACCCCCCAATGCTACCGTCCACGTGCGTCCGGGACGCTCAGTTTGGCATATCCACCCACCCAGTACAGCGTGTCGTGGCCCCATATGGGGGCTCCACCGAAGGCCCCAATGTCACCGTCCACATGCGTCTCGCAAACCCAATTTGGCATTTTCACCCGCCCAATACAATGTTCCATGGCCCAATAAGGGAGCTTCACCGAAACCCTCAGTGCTACCGCCCGCATGCGCCACGAAAACCAGAGTTGGCACTTTTACTTGCCCATTACAGCGTTTCGTGGCCACATAGGGAGCTCCACCGAAGGCCCCAGTGCCTTCGCCCGCATGCGTCCCGAAAACCTAATTTGGGGTTTTCACAAATCCAGTACAACGCTTCGTGGCCCCATAGAGAGCTCCACCGAAGCCCCCAGTGGGACCGCCCGCATGCGTCCCGAACATTCAATTTGGCATTTACACCTGCCCAGTAAAGCGCTTCGTGGTCCCATACGGAGCTCCATACAAGGCTCCAGTGCCACCGCTTACATGCATCCCGACATGCGAAATTTGGCATTTTCGCCAAACCAGGTCAGCGTTCCGTGGCCCCACAGGGAGCTCCACCGAAGGCCCCAGTGCCTCCGCCCGCATGCGTCCCGAAAGCCCAATTTGAGGTTTGCACCAATCCAGTACGACGTTTCGTGGCCCCATAGAGAGCTCCACCGAAGCCCCCAGTGTCTGAAAGACAGGAGTAAGCTTGAGCAGCAGCTGTCTCCTGCCCGTCTGCCCTGTCCGTTCCACCGCCACCCTCGGCTCAAGGCGAGGGAGGGCGGGACTCTTTCTGACAGAGCCTGGCTTTGCCAGGCAGACCGCGCACACTACAGCGCGGCCGTTCATATCGTGGACAAAAGGTGTCCACTGACAATTATCAAGATAATTGACATCGACACATACTTTCTCTTGCTCTTCCTCATCGTCACCAGCGTGAGCGATCTTGAGGACGAGCTCTAGTAATCAGATTGGTAGCGGAGCCTGTGGTCTCCGACAACCACGGGCTCCCACCGGTCTCGGCCTGAATGGCGACTACGGCCGCCAGCGGGCCACCTACGACGCGCGTTGACGTCCCCTCATGGAACGGCGAGGCAGACAAGTTGACGAGCTACAAGTTTGAGGTCTCCATGTTCACCAAGAGCATCAAGACTGCGGAGCGCTACGTGTGCGGCCCGCAGCTGGTGCGCGCCCTCGGGGCGCGAGTCTGGACGACGGTGGAGAGCTGCCCGGACATCGACACGGTCGACGAGATCGACAAGGATGGAGTTTTGATTGGTTGGAACAAAGTGTTTCAATACGCATTGGAGAAGCTGGACTTCACCAGCCTGAATGATACGGGCCTCCTCGCGGAGGAGTTCTTCCTGAAGGTCAGCCGGAACTCGGGCGAGACCATCCAGGACTGGGCCGCCAGATTCGAGAAGAAGGAGCGGGAGCTGTTGGTGCAGCTCCAAGTCATTGATTCCAGCGTGACGGAAGTGATTGCGAAGCCTCTTCGGACATGGTGGTTCCTTCGGAAGTCCAAGCTATCCCCTGTTCAACGTGGAGAGATCACCGCCACGGCAGGTGGCGACCTCAACTTCGGCAAGACATACAAGGCCTTGCTCACGCGCTTCCCGGCGGAGGCGCTGGCGGAGCTCGACGGCAAGCAGCACCGTAAGGCCTTCTATGAGGACACGCACGTCGACGACGTTGAGGACGAGACTGGTGGGGAAGATATTGATTTCACAGAGGTTGTCGAGCAGCTGATCACCCTCGCCGAAGAAGATGAAGATGAGGAGCCAGCTGACGACAACCCAGCGGACAACGAGGTGTTCGCAGAGTTCAAGCAGGTGGGCAGGAGCTTCAAGGACGCTCGCGACCTGATCCGACGCCTTCGAGTGTCCCGCGACTACTACCCGGTCGTGTCGCTCAAGGACCCCGATCGCGTGGCCCCGCCTCCGAACCCGGGACGAGGCTTCCAGCGTGGCCGGGGCAAGAACGGTCGAGGCCGCGCTCGCTTCGACACGGGCAAGGGACGTGACATGTCCAAGATGAAGTGCATCGCGTGTGGCGAATATGGTCATCGAGCGGCGGACTGCAACGAGAGGTTCAAGAAAGATAAAACGAGAGATGGAGCTCGTGGGACTACTCACAACGGCTTCGTCCTGTCCGCCCTCGACGAGTACCTCTACCTCCTGGAGCGCGACGGCATCTGGGCGATCCTCGACATCGGGGCCACGAAGAGCCTCGGCGGCCTCGAGAGCGTCGAGAACCTCATGTACGAGATGCTGGACCAGCACGGCCAGGAGTTCGAGACGACACATGACGAGTGCTCATTCACCTTCGGCGACGGCCTCCAGAAGAGCTCGATGGGCACGGTGAAGGGGAACGTGTTCCTCGGCGGCGACCTGACCGAGGTCAAGCTGTCGGTGATGCCGAACCGCGTGCCGATCCTCCTGGGCATGGACATTCTGACTGACTCGCTGAAGGTTGTGGTCGACTGCGGCCGGAACTGGATCGGCCTTCCGACCATGGGCAACAAGGTGTTCTTCTGCGAGCGCCTCTCGAGCAACCATCTGGCCGTCAACCTGACGACGCCGCAGTGGTGGAAGGAGGTGCCGCTTTCCTTGCCGAGTGCCGGGTGCCTGACGTCCGAAGCGACGGCGCCCGATGTTCTGGTCGAGGAGCTGCCCGAAGAGGCCGCTCCGTGCAGCTGCTGCCCTGCGGTGCGCTAGGGACAGCGCCCCCTGATGATGGCAGCAGAAGAGAAGTTATCTCGATTGCCAACTTCATCATCGGGGGGGCCACACCGACTCGGTCACCGCGAGTTCGAAACACCTACCAGAGCGACGGAAACCTCGGCGGCGCGGACACCTACCAGAGCGACGGAAACTGCGACACGGAGCGGATCGGCTCGAGCGACGGAAACCTCGATTTCGTTCGGACGGACGGTCAGGTCATCCGACCGGCTCTCTTCATCATCACCGTCGATCGGGACATCATCACAGTCAAGAGGACCGTTAGCAAGCAAGCCTCAGGATCAAAATATGGAAAAGCAAAGCGATGAGCCAGGACAATACCATCGGTGTTCATCATCATGCTGTTCGCAACCACCTTCGGCTCAGTTCATCAACTCGGCAATAGCCTCAACCAGCAGTCTTTCACGACCTCCATATTCTTCCCAGGCCGCCACTGGCCGCTTGGATGACATGCAGCGACGGTTCTTTGGCTGGGCAATCCTCGGAGCAACAGCCGCCACCTGTGCCTGCGGCCCGCCCCGAGTGGAGCCGCCCTCGCACGAGGGGATCGACAACTTCGGCTCCAGCGACCCCGACGCCAGCATCAGCAGCAACACCAGCTATTCCGGCGCTACCAGCGAAGTGGTACAACCCAGCGGGGAAGTGCGGCTGCTGCGGAGCTCAGGGGAAGACCAAACGCGGGTGCAGCTGCTTCGGGGGCAAGAGCCACCAGTGCCTCAAGACCCCACAGCAGGGAGCACCCGGGACACCAGCAGCGGCATCAGCAGCGGCAGCCAGCAGCGCCCCACCGAGTCCAGCGGGGGCTCAGCCAGTGACGAGACCTCCGAAGTCCGCGTGCTCCTGCTGCGGGACACTCGGGAAGACGATTCGGGGGTGCAGCTGCCGCGGAGGCAAGAGCCACACGTGTACGAAGGCGACGGAGGTGACCATCCGGGAGCAGGCAGTGGCTCTACGCTGGCGGCGCCTGTCCTACAAGCTGAACTCCCCGGAGGTGCAGGGGGGCTGGAAGTTCACTCCGGAGATGCTCGACGACTCGGAACTGCCGGAGATGGACTCGAAGAGGAAACGCTGAAGCATCTCGACGACCAGGATCTCAAGATGTTCTACGAGAGCCACGACAAGGTCCTGGACGAGATCTACCAGACCATCGCCGAGGACCTGACGGAGCTCGGCAGGCCCTACCGCATCGACCTGATGGAGGTGCGCTGTCCGGAGGACTCGAGCCTCAGCAAGGCCGTGCAGGACCAGGGAGGCAAAGTGTTCAGGTGCGGCCTCTTCAATGGGATCGACATGGGAACGGCAACCGGGCTTCGACGCGCGCTTCACCTTCTCCGACGACTCCGACCGCGCCGCTTGGTTCTCAGCCCGCCATGTACAGCAGACTGCCCGATCCAGAATCTCAACCAGAAGACAGCTCAGCAGAAGGCCACGTATCTGGCGAAGGTGCGCAAGGCCCGACGGATCCAGCGGAACTGCAAGAGCCTCTGGGAAGACTCGAAGAAGATTCACGACTGCCACACCGAGCTCGAACAGCCAGCTTCCAGCCGAAGCTGGACCAGGTCGCCCTCGATCAAGGCGATGCGCGACCAGATGCACGAGACGATCATCCATGGCTGTGCGCATGGACTTCGCGAAGCTCGTTCCGGCCTGCTGATGAGGAAGGCATGGCGCATATGCTCGACAGACCCGGAGTTCGGCGCTAAGCTCGGCAGGACGTGCTCCAACCGCCCTGGCAGGGGCGACAACCACACACACCGCCCCATCGAGGACGGACAGGTGGTGGCCCAGACGGCCTTTTACCCACCAGCACTGTGTAAGGCCTGGGCAAAGCATATCCTGAAGACGAACACCAGCGCGAGGTACGGCAAGGAGATCTTCACCAGCTTGGAACAGATCCCAGAGGACGCTGAAGAGGAGATGGAGGAGGCCCTCGACGAGGACCTCTTGCAGGATAACCCCGAGGCCATGGACGACGAGTCGGTCATGAAGGGCCTGGGCATCTCCGAGACACCGACCAAGAAGGAGGAGCTGGAGATAGAGCAACGGCTGACGCGGCTCCACCGCAACCTCGGCCACCCGAGCAACAAGACGCTGTACAAGATCCTCAAGGCATCGGGAGCACCTCTCCAGGTCCTACGAGCAGCTCTTCGCCTCCAGTGTCACGCATGCCATGCGGGACAACTACCAAAAGCCGTCAGGGTCGCCTCGGGCATCGAGTTGCCAGGCGTCCTAGAGGTGCTGGCCTCCGACGGGCTCGAGTGGCTCTCGCCGAAGCAGGACTCTTTCCTGATGACGTTGAACATCGACGAGGGATCCGGGCTCACCAGTGTCACCTATCATGGACAGAAGGGAGAGCGCAATGGCAACATATCGACTCAGGAGGTGATTTCCACATGGAATGACTGGTGCGGACATTACCGCCGCCCCAGCCTTCTCCGTCTGGACCCCGAAGGTTGTCATCGTTCACAAGCAGTGGCCAGGTGGTGTTCGGACCGCGGCATCGAGCTGTGGATTGCCCCGGGCGAGGCCCACTGGCTGATGGGCAAGGTCGAGAGGCGCATCCAGCTTTTCAAGCGACTGATGACGAAGCTGGCAACGCTGGACCCCGACTGCCCGGTCGAGGAGTTGGTGTCCTGGGCCGTGAGCGCGATCAACAGCATGGACAAGGTCGGCAACCACTCCCCGTTCGAGCACGTGATGGGCGTCTCTGGGATGCCGGCCTCGAGCAACCCGTTCGCCATCATTGACGGGGACACCGGGGAGACTCAGGAGCAGAGGCGCCTCCTCGCGCGCAAAAGCTTCCTGGAAGTAGAGTATGCTGAGCGTCGTCGACACGCCGAACAGGCCCGCAACCGGGTCTATCAGACCTGGAATCCGGGGGACCTCGTCTACTTCTGGCGCAAAGGGAAAGGCCTTGACCCTCGCCCTGGGAAGAAGGGCGGATGGTACGGCCCTGCTCGTGTCCTTGCTCAGGAAAAACGACACGTGGACGGGCGCGCCCGTCCTACCTCGGTCATCTGGATCTCCCACGGGGGCGTGCTCATCAGGTGCGCCCCGGAGCAGCTGCGCGTCGCCTCGGAGGCAGAGAAGATGATCGTCGAATTGCAGCGGCAGAGCAACCTTGGCAAGACCATGACGGAGATCTTGGAGACAGCCAAGGGCGGTACCTATGAAGACCTTCTCGGACAAAATCCTCCAGACCTCCGAGAATACGAGCCTCCACCGCAGCCGACGATGGCGATCCCCGCGACCGAGGGCCAGACTCTCGAGAACAACAGCGAGGCGGGACTCCCCTCAGGCGCCGACAACGACACACCCGGCGCTCCTGATTCCTCCAGGCCACCAACACCAAGCTCAGCGACGCAACCTGAAGTGGAACCGAGTGAACCAGATGTCCGACGGTCCCGGTCACCACCGGCTCGTGCAGCTGACCGGTCAGCAGCCCCATCACGAACGCCAGGGAAAGCATCTACCTCAGCGGCAGTCAGGACGGAGTCTCGAACAGCATCGCGTCCGCCTCCCGCGACCTCGACCTCATCGGCGGCCGGTGCCGCATCCCGAGGCGAGTCGAGACCTCGATGGCGCATGACACACCGCGGACCAGAGCTCGATCTGCACGCACCGCCGGAGAAGCGACAGAAAGGCGCAGACGAGGAGATGGCCGACGCGCTGTTCGACAGCAACCACCTGGTCGACCTCTTCAAGGACAAGCTGGACATCACCCTCGGCATCGACGAACAGCAGACCGTCTACTTCGAGTACTTGCAGGGCGAGAACACCACTCCAGACGGACGCCGAGGTTTGATGAGCCACATCCTGGACAGCTTCGTCGTCAACCAGCGCCGGAAGGACAAGGTGGAGCTGACCTGGTCCAAGATGAACGCCACCGAGCGTGAGGAGTTCGAGGCGGCCATCGCCAAGGAGACGAACAACTGGGTCCAGCATCAGGGACTCCGCGCTGTCCCGACATCTCGGGTCAAGGACGCGGCGGACGTCATCCGGGCAAGGTGGCTCTTCACCCGCAAGTCCGATGGGAAGGCGAAGGCCCGGCTCGTCCTCCTCGGCTACCAGACGAAGGACCTAGGACAGGAGCCGCCAGCCAGCCCCACCGCGTCTCGGCGCGCCCGTCACGTGATGCTAACAGTGGCCGCCGCGAACCGCTGGAAGCTCATCAAGGGCGACGTCACCTCCGCCTTTCTGCAGGCCCACGACCTCGACAAGGACCTCTTCATCGAGCCAGACGCCGTCCTCAGAAAGGCCTTCCACGTGCAGGAAGGGGAAATCCTCCAGGTCGTGAAACCTGGATATGGGATCGGCGAGGCGCCCCGGCACTGGTGGGAGACGGTCAAGCACGACTTTGCGAAACTTCGACTCCAAGCCTGCGAGTTGGAGCCCTGCCTCTGGAAAGCACGATGTTCCAGGACGGGTATGCTCATCGGTATGATCATGGCCCACGTCGACGACTTCATCATGGCAGGAGATACCTCCCACCCTGAGTGGCAGGACATGGTCAAGCAGATCCGAGGGCTCTACAAGTGGGGCACCTGGGAGGACATGAATGACGGGCTCACCTCTCTCGAACAGTGCGGCGTCACCATCGAGGAGAGCGAGCAGGGCTTCTTCCTCCACCAGAAGTCGTACATCGACAAGATCAAGGAGGTCAAGGCGGCCAGCGGCAGTAAGCATCGGACCACCGACAGCCTCAAGGACTCTGACAAGACGGTGCTCAGGGCGTTCTGCGGCGAGATCTACTGGCTTGGCGTGAATACCATGCCATTTCTCTTATCGTGGGTAGCCGACCTCCAGATGAAGATACCAGCAGGTACTCACAACCTCTTCACGGCCGCTAACAACATCGTCAAGCTCGTCAAGCAGAGCCGCCACATGGGGATCAGGATCTACCGGCACGCCCTGGACGACCTCGCCATCTTCACCTGGTGCGACGCAGCCTGGGCCAGCCGCCCGGATGGACACTCTCAGGGTGGTCATATCACCGCTATCTCCTCCAAGGCGGCCATGGACGGGAAGCTCTCCGAGTTCACGGTCCTCGACTGGGGCTCCAAGAAGCTGCGCCGCGTGGCTCGGTCAAGCCTGGCGGCGGAGGTGCAGGAAGCCGGCGACGCCGAAGGCGAACAGAGCATGGTGCGACTGGTACTTGCCGAACTTCTACACAATATGTCTCCACTGCAAGATACCGCAGCAGCACTACGACGATTACCAGCCATCCTGGTGACGGACTGCAAGGCCTTCTACGACGGCGTGGTGCGATCTCAGTCGGCGGGACTGGGACTGGAAGAGCGGAGGACAGCCATCGAGGCTTTGGCTCTCCGCAATGCCTTGGACGAGGGTCAAACGGTCGTGCGCTGGGTTCACTCACACGCACAGATCGCCGACGGCCTAACCAAGGCAAGCTGGCAGGCATTCGGAGTGGTCCGGGCCTTCCTCGAGAAGCAGCAGTGGCGCCTCATCTACGACGAGCAGTTCATGAGCGCTCGCAAGCGGGCAGCTCTTGGCAAGGGCATCTTCGACGAGACGGACCCGACCGACCCGGCCTCAGCTCGTCAGGTACTCGAGGAGCGTAGGTTGGCCCGCCAGGCACAACCACCAGCCAGCATGGAAGGGAACCCTTCCAGCTCGACGACCTCTACTGGGTTCTCGGCCTCCGAATCCCTGATCATGATCCAGAAGTTGCAGCAGGAGATCGAGGCCCATCAGAAGTTCGTCCAGCAGCACACACGGAGCGCAGAGATTGCCTGCGCGCACGGTACAGGGCAGAACCTTTTTCCCCCTGTCTGAAAGATACGCAGGAGTAAGCTTGAGCAGCAGCTGTCTCCTGCCCGTCTGCCCTGTCCGTTCCACCGCCACCCTCGGCTCAAGGCGAGGGGGGGCGGGACTCTTTCTGACAGAGCCTGGCTTTGCCAGGCAGACCGCGCACACTACAGCGCGGCCGTTCATATCGTGGACAAAAGGTGTCCACTGACAATTATCAAGATAATTGACATCGACACATACTTTCTCTTGCTCTTCCTCATCGTCACCAGCGTGAGCGATCTTGAGGACTCTAGTAATCAG